AACTTCAGCCACATTCATGCACAAGCTCGCGTGCAGCTAAGTTGAAGAATTTCCAATGTACTGACACGGAGCCACAAACCCCGAACAATCATTACACAGACCCAACAAGAAGTAAGATAATGGCCTGGAACTTGTTTCTCAAAACCCTCTTTGCACGAGAGGAAAAGTAATGGCCTAAAACCTATCTTAAACATGTCCGAACATCAGTCTTCTGCACAGCTTGTGGGTGCAGGGCTTTTGGCTTAGCGCCCTAAACCTTGAACCCGTTTTCTAACCTGCATTGTAGGCCGGAATAGTTACCCATATACGTTGATTCATCCGAGGTACCCTTGTACGACAACTCTACGAGGAATCTACGAACACAATACGGGCAAGAGTTCAGGCCCCCTCCGAAAGCCTAAACCTATATACACCCTGCTTTAAGCATTCTGCAGGCGGTACCTGCGGGCCATTTGCTGCCGCCGCCTTGCAGTGGTGCATGGGACAATTCTTTCGCGAGCAGTCGCACGTCGGCACGAAGGGAACCTCAGGCTCAGAGTCTAGGGTTCAGGGTTTGGGGGGGTTATGGCGCAAGCTTCAGGTTTCATGATCAATAGCAGGCCCTAAGCCGAGGGTAAAGGGCTTGGGGTTAACAGACTGGCGGAAATGTCCCCAGAGCCTGAACCCCAAGCCCTACACCTCCAGCCATCTTGGGATCCAACTCCAACAGTTTTCGCCTGCCGCAAACCCTAGACTCCACGGCCGAGACATGGGGTGAATTCCTAGAACCCCCCAAGTAGGACAGACCCGAGACTTTCCTACTTGAGGTTTTGTGGGGATCTACCTTTTGGTCCAAGCATAGTGCCTGAAAGAGGTGCAAGTGCTTCATGCAATGCCGCCCAGCCCTGCACAGCGTGTTGCCACAGGTATTCCTCACGGAACGGAGGGATCTGAAAGGCTCAGGGCTTGTAGTCTCCTCCCGCAAGTATACTGCCACCAACGGTGAACAGGAAATACCCGTACTACAGCAACATATATCCACAATGGGCAAACAACAATAATTAACCCTAAACCCTAAACCACAATGGGGAAACCACAACACTAGGGAAACCACATCAGCTACAGTCTAAACTCCTAGTATCCCCCTTAGTAACCCCTATAGTAGTCCCGTATATAATCCCTTAAATAACCGGAGTTTAGACTATAGCTCACACGGGTGTCCGCTTCAGTGCCTTTGGCTGGAAGCTCCCGACACTTGCAGCGTAAAGCTTGGCTTCGGGCTTTAGGTTTAAGGTCTGGGGGTCGTTTAGGGTCTTTGGACTTTTAGGGTGTTAGGCTGGGAGATGTGACCGTTGGGATTCCAACCACAACCTCTTACGCTCCAACCCGGGCTTGCAAACTTTATGGCCTTTTGGAGGCTTTCGTGCCGCGGTCTGGGTTTAAGGGCCTAGCCGAGGTCTAAAGAAGCGGGACGACCATGGTTTTAGTTGAACGGGGCTGGTTGAGGAAAACGCTGCGTCCATCGTGTCGACAAGAGGCCAGCAGAGAAGCAACAACGATACGGGACGCAGCGGGAGAATAAGTTTCTCTGCATAGCCCCCACAAAGCCCTGGCGAAAGAAGTTTAGAATTTGCGAAAACCCTCATCCCTCGAGGTCTCGAAAGGCCAAAACCCTATCCCCTAAACGGCTAAGCTTACAGGCTTCAGGGTTCATCCCCATGAGGTGTTAAAAGGTCTAAACCCTAAACCCGTTTTTCCCCATGAAGTCCCAACAAGTTACTCTTAACCCTAAACCCCAAACTCGAAACCCTAAACAGCCCTAAACCCTAAACTCTAAACCCTAAACCCTCAAAAGCCCTAAACCCTAAACTCTAAACCATAAGCCCGAAAAAAACCCTAAACCCTACACTGTAAGTACAGACAGGGCTCCCTGGGAGTTCAACCAAGGTTGGCTCCAAGGGAATCTGCGCAGCGATGTCTTTTCCTGGGTTGCTGTGAAGGAACTTAAGTGGTTGTAGGGGGTATATAGGGCTTATATAGGGTTTAGGGTTGAGGTTACCATATTATGGGTATATAGTGAATAATCGGGTTCCCGCACCATAGCAACTTAATTTAGGTTCCTTAGCAGCAATTCTTCAACCCAGTTTCGCAACAGGGTGTTGAAGCGGTTGAGTCTTTCCTTAGGTGCTGCTGAGGCACTTGAAATGACTTGCTATTCATTCATGAGGCCCTCTTGTTTTCCATGTGAACTATAATCTGAACTCATACTGTAGTATCCCCCTTAATAACCCCTGTAGTAGTCCCGTACATAATCCCTTCAATAACACACTTCAAAAAGTTTAGACTATCTATAGCTCATTTATCCTCGTTATGGTAACTTAACTGAAATTCTTTAACAGCAAATCCAGTTTCAGCTCCGTTGGGTTTCAGCCATTCTGCAGCCAGTTTGCCGCGCAGGTCTCTAAAGGCAGTTGGTATAGGACTCCAATAGTAGCGCAAGGTCCTTGCCTGATCTGCATACCACAGGACCAGGACTTGTGTAATATTCTCACCCACAGAAGCATCGAGGGTGTCTTCAAAAACTGCTCTGCCCAAATACACCTTGGGGACTTTGCGGATGCTGCAGCAGTTCATGGGTCTTTGGAGCGATCCGGCTTTAGCTTAGTAGGCTTTGTGAACAAAATACTAGCTTCCCAAACTAGGGGGCCCCAATATAGACTCCAATATATCAAAATCCTTCTCCTGGAGACCATCAGAAGAAAAAACCAACTAATGTTGGGAAACTCTCAAAGGTGAACAAGCAATTTCAAGCAACGTCGGAGAAGCGTTTGTCCATGGCGTCTACCTTCCCGTCATTGACACGCTGGAGCACATGGAAGTAGACAGCCACCAGGGATGCCGGAGCGCATTTCCTGGCAGTTTCAGATAGGCAGGTGCCAAGTATGTATCCCGTTAAAGGCTACGATGTATGTAGCACGAGAAGTTGCAGGCTAGCATAAGGTCTAGATAGGTTGCGCAACAGGGGGCATGAGTTTCTGCGGATACAGGCATCTAGTTGCTGACGGTTGCACCGAGAGACAGAATATACATACAATGTACTCTCTACTAAGACGATGAGGATGGTGGTGAGGTCTGCTACTAAGGCTGGGACACAGCTACAAGCGCAGCCGCGACTGCGACGACAACTTCTACAATTCTGAATGACATCTATCTATCAGGATAAGCCAGCATCGGCGACCACTATCATCATGATGATGATGTTCATCATCATCATTCTCATTATCTCCACTACCACCGCCACTGCAAGATACAACTGCCAACTGCTGCCTTCCTGGCATTGCAGCCAAACATCTGCCTTCTTACCCTCACAACCTAACCTTAAAACCCCGAATCCTAACGCCTTCGCCCTAAATCGTAACCTAGACCCCCAAAAGCAAGTGAAATAATACTGCCCTAACAGTTCCTCCAAAAAACCGCCGAAAAGGCCATTGTTCAACACATTTGAGCCATAGTCTAAACTCCTAGTATCCCCCTTAATACCCCTATAGTAGTCCCCTATATAACCCCCTTTAAGGAGTTCAGACTACAGCTCATCTGGGGGTTTCAGGAACCAGCTTCTCAGGCCCTCTGGCGGCCACGAGCAGGTCTGAGCCCAAATTGAGCCCGAAGCCGTGGAGGTGATCCGCAGCCAAGACCTCCGCCACTTCAAAGCCTTGGAAGGCTTAGGGTTTAGGGTTTAGGGTTTAGGGTGTAGGGTGTAGGGTTCAGGGTGTAGGGTTTAGGGTTTAGGGCCCTTTAAGTAGATGGAATATGGGGATCTTTTTATAACATACCCAAAGCCATATTCTATCCACTTAAGGGGGACTGTAGGGTTCAGCTGAGGGTTTAAGGCTTAGGGCTTTGGGGTTTTGGGCTCAAGGTTTAGGGTTTGGAGTTTAAGGTTTGGGGTTTGAGGTGTGGATGAACAGTTTACCCTCCCTCCAGGCCCACACAGGCCCTGATAAGTTTTTGGTCCTTGCAGGTTCATAGGGTTTATAGCAGTTCAGGGCTGGTGACACCATTTCAAAGTCTGTTTTCCCGCCCAGGTTCCCCCCGACTAATTTAGGGCTTGAGTGTTACACTCAAAACCGCGAACGCACGCTAGAGTGCTCGTAAGAGGGTTTTCATTTGTGTCCATGTTCCTTTGGGGCAAGGAGAAGATAGGGGTTGCGACGCACACCCTAAGCCCTAGATGCTGAATCAACAACTTATATCCTAAACCCTACATCCTAAACCTTAAGCCCTAATTTAACCCCCAACACCCCAACAACCTGGGTTTATGGTATTTAGTGTTTAGTTCGGGCTTGGGGTGCAGGGAACCCTCCCAAAAAACCAAGAAAACACATTCACACACAAAACCTTAAGCGCCACTGAAAGGCCTTCAAACTGCAAGGCCATCATTGCACAAGGAAGCGCCAGCTGGCGGGCGGTTGCCGTGTTGCTATACACGGCTGGATGGTACGCCCTTTTAGCAGTGGGCTCCAAAGATGGGATGAAGGTAGGTGGGTTGAAAGATCGGCGCTATCTGGAGAGTATATATATACTTCATTATATTGGGGCTTATTTCCCATACCCCACCTTCCTCTACCCCAGCTTTGGAGCAATCAGATCTTAGGGCTCAGCGGAAGTTTGCGACTTGCGTGTCTAGGATTTGGGATTTGGAGCGTAGGGTCTAGAGGTTGATAAATATGGTTTAGGGTTTGGGCTTCAGGGTCTGCTGTAGGTTTTGTTGCGTAAGGCTACTGTTTAGGGCTTGGGGCTCAGTGGTGTACTTAGGGGTACAACCCTAAACCCTAAACCAAGCTTGCAAGGTCAAGTAAGTGAGAATCACTGTGAACCTCTGAGGAGACACAGTTTGGGGTTTGGGCTATGTCAACACTATAGCCCCTTTTTGGGGCCCGCTTATGATACACCCCCCCCCCAAAAAAATGTTCAGGGTGCCCAAAAAGGGACCAAGATTTTGACAACCTACCACATGAAGCCTTCTGGGGTAGAGTAGCGGAGCAGAAGCCATGCCCCGCGCGTCCTCGAAAGAGCCATCGGGATGCCAGCCAGAAGGGACAGAGGGATCCTCAACGTTGGGCTTCAAGGTTGCAAGTGGTTTAGCGTTTAGGGCTTAGGGTTTTGTAACCCCCTTAGATCTAAAATAGGTGTAATAGTAAAAGTATGTTCAATGGTTCTTTGAGGTTTTGTCACAAAAAACTAAAAAGTCTAAGGGGATAGGAGTAATACTAGGTGCAGCGTTAGGATGTCTAAAAGGTTTTTGGTTTGCTGTTTGAATGTGCGTTTCGAATTCTTTGCAGGGTCTGTTATGGCGAACGCAGTATGGGAAATTCCAGGGAATTGAAGGGGTCTACACCCTAAACTCCAAAACCCTAATCCCAAAACCCTACACTCCCCCAAACAGCCACAACAAACCAAAGAAGGGACAAAAGAGGAGCCACGGGGGGAGGAGGTTGGTCCAAGCCCCAAATCCAAAACCCCAAAATCCTGAACCTAGCCTAAACCCTAAAACCTAAAACCTAAACCCTTCAACCCTAAACCCCAAAACCTAAAACCTAAACCTCTAAACCTCAAACCATATCTCCTCCATCTCCTTGGGACGGTGAGTGGGATTGATGAAGCCGTAGTAGCTGAAATGGAAGCAACCTTTCTGTCGCTTTGTGAGGGATGAAGAAATGGAGGAAACTATGGAAACCACTAATCTTTAAAGATTTACATAGGGTTTATAGAGTTCAGGTTTAGAGGGTTTTCTGGGTTAAAAATAAGGAACGAAGGAATGGAAAACCAAATGCCTAATGCCATGCTATTCACGGCTTAGGCGTCCCAGAAAAAAGCACGGGGATTACAAGGGGTGAGCATATAGGGGCTACTATAGGGATCTGTTCCTCCATTCCCGCTGACCACATGTAAGTTCAAGCAGCCATTGTGGCAGTCGCAGCTGAGAACAGTATGCCGGTTCCGCCTCTGGCGATTGCCACCACTCACACAAAAAATCATGGTGACGACGAGATTGAATCTTATGACCCCTAAAACATGTACCCACAATCCTCGTACTGTGCAATCATTTATTGCCAACAGCTTAGACCCCGAGCGAAACCTTAACTTATGACCTGTTCCGAAACCCTAAAACCGAAGTCCTAAACCCTTATCCTACACCCTAAAGCCTATAAAAACCGTATACGAGCCGTAGTCGAAACTCCTAGTATTGCCCTTCATAACCCCCATAATAGGCCCCTATATGATCCCTTTCCTAATCCCCCTTTAAGGAGTGTCGCCTACGCTACCTCAGGTTCCTTGACAGCAACCCAGGTAAAGCCCTAAACCCCAACCGCAGAACACGGAACCCTAAACCCTGAACCCAAAACCCTGAACCCTAAATCCTAAACTCAACACCCTGAACCCAAAACCCAACACCATGAACTCAAAACCCAAAACCCTGAACTCAAAACCCCTAAAACCTGAACCCTAAACCCTTCTTCGACAGCTCCGCCTCACTCCAAGGTGGCCCTCCTTCAGCTGGAGCCAAGGCTCAAACCTGTAATTGAAATTACCAAAGGGGTTATAGGGGGATATATGGGGATATATAGGGACTATACAAGGGTCCCCAGGAGGCAAATAAGAGGGTTTTAGGGCCCAAATACTCTCATACTAATGGTATTTGGTTAGGTTTAAGCTGGAAGGGTTAGGTTTTGCGGTTTGGGGCAAAGTATGGTTTAGGGTTTAGGGTGTAGGCTAAGGCATTTAGGGTGTAGGGTTTAGGGTGAGGAACTTAAGTGGAGTTTTGTGTTGTTGAGGGCTTAGAGTTTAGGAGCTTAAGCTTAGCTCTAGGGTTTAGATCATAAACTTAGAGATAGAAATGTGCACGTTAGGCTCGAGAATGAGTTTGGATTGTGGGGTTTAGAGTTTGGAGCTTGGGCTCAGGACTCTCGTCAGTTGGGGGTTCAAGTCTTAGGGTTTGGAGCCTGGGGCTTGCTTCATTAACTACCATCGACATTTCCCATAGACTTCACGGGCATGAGGAAAATACCCAAAGGACCCCTATGTCCACCCTTAGTGGTCCTTCGGCAACCCAACTATTGACAATAGCTCACCTTATCCCTTACCAGAGGCCACTACATAATCCGATCTTCCATTTCACTCTCCATGCTCTTTCCGTTTGATTCAAGGTCCAGCCCCTGGCATGCAGGCAGACCTCCCTTTTCGTGCTTAAGCTGCTAAGGATTTAGGGTTTAGGATTAAGGGTTGGCAGTCTAGGGTTTAGGATCTAGCGGTCAGTTTGAAAGCCAGTTTGAAAGCTAACATTTGGATAGGCCAAAAGCCTGAAACGAGGCCGTTCTTGCACCACTTGCTGCACAAGCTGTGATGTGGGATCAATTCAGGTGAGGAAGCTGTGCCTATACCCCTATACTCTACCCTTCTGTAAGGATGCCTAGCCTTGTGTCTAGTATTTGCTATGTAAGAAGCGCATGTTATGAGAAAAACAGAAAAGGTAGGTCATGGCGGTCTAGGTACTGTAGAAGCATTTATGGTCAGTAGCATTATAGTCCTGCATTTATTCTACTATCATGGTATGGGGCACCTCAAATCAATCTCAAAATCATATGTAATTATCTGAGCGCCCTTATAACCCTAAACCCTAGCCCCTACACCTATCCAGCCTTGCCTACTCGTTGGGTCTGTCTGGTCCCAGCGAAGCACATCTTCTCTCTCGGACTCGCGCTGCCAATCCGCCACCAGTTCCTGCTCCGTGGAGCGGATGGCGAAATCCTTCAATACCCACTGCACATCGGGCTTGTAGGGCCTCACCTAACATGCATCAAGACAGGGTTCAGAGAACCTTGTCCAGAAAGACATTAGAAATTGAGATGTTCCTAGAAGTACTAAATCAAACTGAACCTAGACTATGCCTTGAAAGCTAAGCCCACTAAACTCAAACCCCCCTCCCCCCCATTTTTTGCGAACCCGCACCTGGCATGGGTCCAGGAATTTCTGTACAACCTCTGGCAACAACACGAGATCGCTTCGCTCCAGCGCTTGCCCTCTTGCCTGGCTCGTAGCTGGGTTAAGGGTGAATGCTCTGGGTAGGGCTTAGAAACCCTAAACCCTAGGATCTAGGGCATAGGGCAGGGCCCCCGGTTTGGGTTTAGGGTTTTGTGGCCGAAGTAAGTGCCAAGGAAATGTAAAACAATGGTCTTATGTATGTGAGTTGAGCGTAGTTGCCCGAACGACTTCCAATGTCATTTCGAGGTGGATTTGAGGTACCCTATACCATAGTTATACAAGGAATCTAGGACGACAATGTTGGTAATGATTCGGGCTATGGGTAACTCTCAAGTTGGGGTACCCTTTTTGACCGTTAAGGACCCTAGAAATACAGGAAGACTATTTTCAGAAGATAGGAAGCCCCTTCAAGATTGTAAGGGATCATACGGTTTTTGTTCGAAACTTGTGGCCTCAAAATGTCCAGAAGGTTCCCTTTTGGTCAGTATCTCTTGTAAGGAAGTCTCTCCACGGCCGTCCCTGTTTGGAAGGACCTTTCCTTTGGAACCACCCCCATAAAGATAAACTCCCATACGTATGGAGGAAATCCTGCACCACACTATATCTCATACTCTTGGAATTGCAGTACATTGGTGATCCTAAGAGGTGCAAGATTTCCTCCATCCGCAGTATCTTCGTTCGTTAGCCAGGAGGAAGTTGCGGCAGCCAGAAACTGCAATTCACAAGGATCAGCCAGGTCAGCATCCTTCCTGGGACTTCGGCAGAATTATCAAAACAGTTCATATTATGGGGATAGGCACGAGCATTTAGGGTTTAGGACAATGAATGGCAACTTGGGAAACAGGTCATGGTCACAAAGCTGTTTTCATGACTGTTCATCAAGTGCTTAGAGCACACCGCAAGAATCGCCAAAATGGTCACTCTTGTTGGAAGCCAGAACACATGCCTACCATGCTAGTCTGGGTTTCTTGAGCTTAGGGCACTATGGAGCTTGCACTACGCCTATACATGCGCCACGTGTGCTGCAAGATCCGTTCCCCAGCGGCCTTTAATTTCCCTCCAAACCCCCCACAGGTTTTGGGGATCAAGCGCGGAAACATGAAGCATAGAACTTGTACCTCGAAATCTTGCAATGTCGACCATGACTGGGTTGCTGTTAAGGAACTTATTTTCAGTTACTAGATTCGGGAAACCATATTAATCACTATATACATATATATATATACCCAGTATGGTAGCTTAGTTTAAGCTCCTCAACAGCAACCCAGATGAACCCTCAGTTCTGAAAAGGCCTAGCTTCAGCAGCACGGCGTCCTCCAAGATCTGGGTTCCAAACAGCAACTTGCCATCTGCTGTCCAGGGTCGCTCCGCATTAATCCTAGGTTTCACAAGCAGTTTAGGGTTTAGGGCTAGGGTTTCGGGGATTTCGGGCTTCGAATTTTCAGCAGATTCTGTATATTCGATGTAGCCTGCATTCTTCAAACGTGGCTTCCAGGATTGAACGGGTTTCAGGTAAATTCTGTAAGTTGATAATGCTGTTTACACATGTTGCTGAAAACTGTATGATTTGGCGCCTCTTGGCTAATCTGTTTCATAGATAAACGTACGAATCGTGAGGGGCTGGGGAAGATTGCGGCCATTCCTGTTGATCCCAATGTAGAACAGAAAACTTTGGCCGCTCAAAAAATCTGAGGAGTGCCCATCAACTCCCCAAATAGCACGGGAAACTGAATGTAAGAAGACCACTGCGGAAGGCATGATCCTTAAATCGTACTACAGCTCTCACAGGGGATCTTCCTTAGACTCCCCCCAAAACCTTAAACCCCCAAACTCGAAACCCTGAACCCTAAAAACCTAAACCCGTAAACACTAAAACACTATAACCCTACACCCTGGGGCCCCATTGAAGCCCGGCTTAGGTCTTCCTGTCCAAACCATTCCTGTTTAGTGGACGGTCAGTGTATTGGGGCAAATCCAGACAAACATCACAGTATTCCTGAATTGCCGTCGCAACGCAACCCTAAACTCAAAACCCTAAACACTAAGCACCAAATCCTTGAAAGTGAGGATCCTCCGTGCAACTTGCGCTCTCAGATCCTGCACAGAATCCATCGGAGAGGGGCGGAAATGACCCAAGCTGCTGCCTGCAGGAGCAGGTTTAGGGTTTAGGGAGGAGTAATAGTGGTACCTACTAGCACGAGTACTAGTAACTAGTACTACTACCAGGAGTGGTACAAGGAAGTGTGATGGTGGGTGATAGTTGAGTCATGGTAGTGCTATGGGTAATAATTAAACTGGTTATGATAATAATGATAGCAAATGGAAACAAGTGAAATCATAAGAGCCATAGTAACAATCGTATTGGCAGTAGCAGTATTAAGACTCTGGAAGGGCTCACCTGGCTAGGCACTTTCCTTTTAAAGAAGCTAGGCACTTTCCTTTTAAAGAATGCGATGCTCAAACATACTAGGTCAATCTTCAACCCTAAGACCAGAACCTCCCACATAGACCACCTGTACCCTTTACATGGGATTCTTCTGACTTTGCCCAAAACGCCCGCTACCCCACGCTGAAATCCCCAGGCTTGTTGCATGCAGTTGGTTTCATACACGTGGGACAAAAGCGCTAAAAATCCTTAAACCCAAAGGAAACTAACCCTAGAAATGAAGGCCCTAAGTCCTAAATTCTAAAAGTGCAAACCCTGAGCCCTGCTGCTAGCAGAACCGGCCCGCACCCTCCAACGTTGTATTGTTGGGGCTTGTGAAGGTTGCCTGGCTACAGCTCTGATTTGAGCAGCTTTAGATACAATACCCTAAGATTAACCCCCCCAAACATTAAATACTCCCAGCAAATTGTCAAATATACCACATATTGGGAGTATTGAATCTTAGAGGGGGGGTGGGTGGATTTAATGTCAGGGGGAGGGGATTGCATCAGACGGCGGAAAAACTAAACTACACCGTAAACTATAGCCGATAAGAACACTTGGAGGACTGCCTCGGATGCAAGAGCAGACTTGGTTTCCTCGTAGCTTTGTCAAGGTTCAAGTGCCGAATACTTCAGTACTCTGAAGTTTGGCAATAGCGGTTGTAGTATAGGTTTGGAGCCTAAATGCTAACCCGCCCAAAAAGGAAAAAAAAACTCAACCCTTCGGGCCAGGGAATAGGCGAAATATCCCAGGCTAACGGACAGAATTCACAACAAATCATGCTCACAAGCAATTTCATTTTGGAACTTTGGTGCTTCTAAACTCTGACACAGACGGTGCGTTCCGCCGCAAATCCCTGAATTCCGCATTCCTGAACTTGAGTGAAAGACTCACCGGCGCCTGTAAGCGCATTCATGACATGAACCTCCAGTACAGGACCTGTCGCAGTCTCTTCGTCCTCGTTGCCTCAACTGTGGCGTCTCTTGGTCGTTAAACCAAATAAGACTACACTCTTCCTGGCAAAGCAACGCCTAAGTCACCCAGAAAGCCCCACATCATGTAATTAGGGAATATACCCTAAAGCAGAATAGAATCCCTGGTATGATTTTATGTATTTAAGGAATATACACTACATCAGAAAAGGATCCCTAGTATGATTTAAGGCCAATTCCTTGGGATCCTGAGCTTTCAGGTAACATGCCTACGCAAGTTCTTCGGAGCCCCACGACTGGTGGAGTCAGCCTCAGCCACCGTCAACGCTAAACCCTTAGGGTTTTCTTCCCAAACCCTAAACCCCTGAAGGGACCCCTGGTATATTATTGTAATTTCCATTACCCTAATATGACCCCTCTACATCCCCCATATAACCCGAACCACGGAAAATTTCATGTCTGCAGCTAACGTCATTATATTGTGTAACAGAGGGACAATCGTTGGTTGGTTTGCGCGCACACGGTTTAGGGGTTTGGGGTCTTTGTCAGCACTGAGCAATGCCAAGCTCAGACATGAAAAACAGCATCAAACATCCCCAAAGGGTCCATGTAGGTACATAGTACCTGCTTGGGGCTGAGAGTAGGTATACAGGAACTCCTTCAGACCTTAGGTATGAACAATATACCCACATGCACCCTTTGGGATGGCGATGGGGGTGCTGTTGCACCTCGTCACAGAACGCAAACACTCTTGCATCCCGGCAAAACTCTGTGCGGGAAACTAGATAGAAAGCACTAGCATGATGATGATGCTAACGATGACCATCAACATCAGCATCGTCTTCCAGGCAAAGGACAAACCTACCAGTAAGACAAATACATTAGGAAGACACAGGACCTCAGACGTCACGAAGACTCCCGACTCCCTCCAGGCTCCACTTGGGGAAGCGAGCGGTTGGCGCTTCCAAAGCGTCGCCAAGGCTCCACTTGGGCCCAAAAACACAATGCCCATACTCACCGCAACCCTGAAGCATCAAAGCCACACGCCTTCGACACTACCAAGACTGAACCCTAAAACCCGAATTCGAAACTCCATCTTCAGAACCCATCTTGAAATTTTCATCCCCTGGCACCCATGCACATCAACCTCCTTGAGGCCCAAAGGAGACGTGAAAACAGAAAATGCCACACGAAGCAAGATATGAGTGTTTGATTCGACGCGTAAGGGACTAAGTCTCCAGGAAATGGCAGCTTACTCTTACCTGAACCTCAAAACTCAAAAGATGTAGAATGATGGCCTTTTGGCTGTTGTTTTTTAGGTACTGTTGGGGTCTAGATACTCCCTCCTGCAAGCCACATGAGTAATGTTTTTTTTGGTGGTTGAACCCAGTAAGATAATATTCCTCATATAAAACACTATACCCAAAAGAAGGATATAATCTTACGCTATATTGGGTACCAGAATATCCCCAAATAAAGCACTACTCACATTACCTGCGTAGGCAATTTTCGCAGATGGAAGTGTTCTTTCTTGTGGCCTGTCACTCACCAGTCCCCTAACCCAAAGGGTCAAAGTAGGGGCCTAGGGCTTCGGGTTTCTTTTAGTATATACATGGGGCCTGAGGTAGGCATGTGAAAGCTCCTTTGGGCCCTAAGTATATACTATATACCCGCATGGAACCTTTGTGAAAGGTTTTCCATGACAAGGACCTTCAAGAAACCCTTATGTCTTTTACGGCCCTACTTATACCCCTACACCGTAAACCCTAAACACTAAACCCGAATCCTTAAGCCTCAAAATAGAAGGATCCTCAGTCTATCTACCCAAAGAGCTTTCCTGTCGCGTCGCCTGGGGCCGGATAGCCTTTAGAGGCTTCTTGACTTGCGGGCAGCTTTTTCTCCGAGGTGGACTGCTTCTTTGCTGCCTTGACCTTTGCAGATTGGGCCGTAATGCCTGAATGTGCAGAAGCCCTTTCAGTCCTTAGGGATACATGGGGATTATAAGTTCTAAGGGGATGCTGGGGGTCCATGCTAGGCATCGTCAAAGGGACCTTTAAGAGGATGTTGAAGAAAACTACTTCAACGGCTGGAGAACTTCTACAAGCTGAACCTAACCTCATAGGGCACGCGATCGTAATAAATGACATAGCCCCAGGCTAGCTTTCAACGTCCAAGTCGACGCGGCATTACTGCTGTCTCAACATGGCGTTCCCTGTGAGGCGTCCCAAAGCAATGGAAGTGTCGCGAAGTGGGGGGTGCCCAAAAAGAAACACCCTGAGGACCCTATGGTCATATGGTAGTTTCCGTAAATAGGGGGACCCCAATATGAACCCCAAAATACTATATGATCCTTTTTATTATGGGACCCCCAAAATGGTACCCCTAATTTTCGGAAACCCCCATATGTGAAATGAAGGTGTTCAATGAAGGGGCTAAGGATGATGTAAGATGCCCCTAAAACCTTGGTGTGGAACAATTCCCAGATTTCCCCTAAACCACATACCCGAAACCCTGAAACCTAAACCTTAACGCAGGACACAGAACCCTAAAACCTAACCCCCGACCCGAAACCGTAAACCCTAAACATTCAGAGACTCACTAAGCTCACAGACTGGCAAAGCTGCCGAAATGCAAACGGCTTTAGGGTTTAGGGCTCAGGCACATTTAGGGTTTGAGCAAATTTACGGTGTAGGGCTCCGGGAAGTTTAGGCGTTAGGAGGTAGGATGCACATAATGATTCTAAAGCTGGAAATGAAGGTGCGGTCGGACGATTTTCGAACTGAACTATAATTTGGCTTGGGGTGAGGTGTGGTCGTTAAACTTTGCCCCGGCTGGTTGGGACCGCGCAACGCTGATAAAAGCACTTGATTCTGACCCCTCTCTGACTTCTGCCTGCGTCCCCACTTCCTTTCTAACCCAAAAGAACCAGTACGGGGAGTACACAAATTGATCAGGGTTTTGGGGTGCGCAACTTCAACAAAAAGTGCACTAGAAAGATGAGGCATCCATCTTAGTCCTTTCGCAAGGTCCTAGATAATCTATGCCTCAACCTCCACCTTAATGTGTTCCTCGTTCGGCAGCACTTGAAAGGCAAATAAGCTAGTCGTAAGCCTCCGGATTACTATTACTATTACTTTTACTATTGGTATTACTTTTTTCGATGTAAGCCTACCAGAAACCTTTACGCTCCCCAGCACTAACATGGAGCCCCAAGTTTGGGGGAGGGTACAAGCCCTATAAACCCAGAAACTGACATGGAAACCCAAAAAGGGTCCTATAAAGACTACAGTTCCTTTAAAGGGGGGCTATATGGATTTCCATGTTAGTTTGGGGGAGTGTAGAAACCCTAAACCCTAAACCCTACTCACAAGCCCTAAAACTGACCTTGTCTTTCTTCTCCGGCTTGCGGCTGATCGTCGCTTCTGTCTGCGGTTCTGCCTTGCGGCTTATAGGCTGAGGGGCCTAAGCAAATCTGAGCCAGGATCTGGGGTATAGTGTAATATACTATAAGTCGATATATGTGATTAAGGGTTATGAGGGGATATACTTATAGAGATACTTCTTCAGGACTCCACACTGGGGGGCAGGTTTAGGAGCTTAGGGTATGCTCTGGGACTGGCCGAGGGTTGGGGGTTCAGGCTTTTCTTTGCGCTGCCATCCCCTCAAGCAATAATCCCATACATGGTTCGAGGGTATAAGGTAAAACAGAGACCCATAAGCGGTTGAAAGCTTCGGGGTTTCCACACTTTTGC